GATGGAAATCAGAATTTGCCAGGTTTTGAGATCTGGAGAGGGGATTGATTATGAAGGAGGTAAGAAAACATCTAGGGGTAATGGAAATAATTTGTTGGCTGTGGTGGTTATGTGACTGTGTACCTTTGTCAAAATTTTGTCACAGAACTAGGAGCCTCCCTAGTGGCCTAAGGGTTAAGTCTCAGCACTATCACGGCTACAGACTGAGTTCCATCCCCAGCCAGGAAGCTCATCCACGTGGAGCAGCAGACCTCTTCTGTCTTATCCACTGCTCCCCTCAGTAGTGTATTTCAGTAAATCTGCTTGCCCTGTTCCCTACTCTCTCTGGTGATTCCTTTCACCCCACTCCCCACATTTCTAGCCTACACCCCAGTTTTTCAATGCAAAAAGATATGAATTATAAAAATAATTCACAGAACGCCTAAAAAGGATAAATATATGTGTGTGTATATATATATAATTATAATTTAATAAGCCTAAACAAACCCACTTGACGGGGTTCCCACTAGCCAAATTAGAACTTGGACATCAAGAAAAATGATAGTAATCAGTATATTACATTTTAAAAATGACCATGAGTCCAGAGTGATACTAGTTAGTGTGGAAACTAAACCTACACGTGGCAAGATCGCAAGGGATCAAGCAATCACAAATAATCCAATCACCAATAATAATCCTTCCTGATACACTGTGATGACAAATATGTCACACCACCTATGCCCAACTCTTAAGATTTTTATATTTATGCATGCAGAACTGAAGTACAAGCCAGAGGTGCAGGGGCAGGTGATAAAGTGGGGGAGCAGAACAGGCAGAAAGTACACTGCTGAGGCGAGCACTGGGTGGTCAGAAGAGGTCTGCCAGCCATGTGGATCACCCCTGGGGCGGGGATCAAACTTGAAGCATCTGTGGCTTGCTTGCAGTGCTGTGTCCCCACCCGCACGTTGTGCCACCAGGGAGGGTTCTCAACTCTTGTTTTTAAAAGTTTACCCTAGGGTCCTCCGTGATGGCAGAGAGGTTAAGTTGCAGCAGTATGAAGTTACCCACAGCCACTACAGCACAAGTTCGTTCCCCAGCCAGGGAGGTGACCCATGGGCACAACAGACGTCTCTTGTCTCACCCTCTGCTCCCCTCATAGCAGTGTATTTCAGTAGATCTACCTGTTCTGCTCCCCACTCTGCCTCTGGTGAATCCTCTCACCTCTGCCTTACACTTCTGGTCTATATCCCAGTTTTTGTATGCATAAGTAAAAATAAAAATTTTTTTAAAGTCTACCCTGAATATAAACACAAGGAAACAATTAAAATATAATGTAAACAGAAAATAACAAAAATAATGAACAACCATATACCAGAGACATTCTGTGGGGGTGGAGTGGGGAATGGGATCAAAAACGGGGTGGGGGGAGGAAGGGAAATGCACGGGACTATGGTGGTGGCACAGGGGTGATTTGGTGATGGGAAACCCGCGGGGATTACAATCGAGATAGAAAAAAAAATGTGCAAAATGATGTAAAAATAAACTTTGTAATAAAAAAAATATAATGCAAACAGTGGGTTCTTCAAACATGCAATATGTGGGGAAAAAAGACTTTCATATATGAAAAAAGAGAAAGGACTGTTGTAGATTAAAATAAAGACTAAAGAGACAGGCAAATGCAATATGTCACCCGTGATTCAATGCTAGATTGGGCAAAAAGTTCCAAAAGGTACTTTTGGGAGGGGAACAACTTAGATATGTATTGTATCTTACATGATAATAAATTGTTACGTTTTTAGACATAATGGTGTGACTATGTAGGAAAATGTTCTCATTCTCGGGTAACTACTACATGCTGAAGTAGTTAAGTGTGAAATGCCATGGTATTTGACTCATTGCAACTGGCTCAGCTAATAAAATAGAAGGGATGGAGGGAGTGAAAGTAAGAAATAGAGCTTGAAAGAGAAGGGTGAAATGTAGCAAAGTATCACCAAATAACGAAGATTTTAGGTGAACAGTACAGGAGTATCCATCATATATTGTTAAATTTTTTTTTTTCCAGCAGTTTGGTCTGGCTGACATTATACACACACACACACACACACACACA